TTTCTATGAGAGCTATTCAGCTAAATAAACAAAAATATTTACAGAATAGCTCTGATACTAGATTATATTATTATCCAAAATACATTATGTATGCATATGGTATGCAGACATGTAAAAGTCGTAATTAGACTTAGCTGACTTGATATTAATATTAGCATAAGCCTCAACGTGACATTCTTCATGCACCGGAATTTTAGAAGGGAAGTCCTTTGAATTCAAGTCTGAGTCTCTGTGTTCATATTCACATTCTGCCAGCTCACTCCTGAACAGCCTAAAGCAAACATTTAAACCAAATAAAAAGTGAGAGAGGCATATCTGAGACTGACTTACAAGAAACAATTAGATTTTTTTATAGCAGTTAGGTGAAGGGTTTATTATGATGTATAAATCCATGTGGTCGCCCCATCTCAAAAAAGACATATTGGAATTGGACAAGGTTCAGAAAAGGGCAACAAAAATTATTAGGGGTACGAAACGGCTTCCATTTGAGGAGAGATGAATAAGAGTAGGACTTTTCAGCTTGGAAAAGAGACGACTACGGGGGGATATGATAGAGGTCTATAAAATCATGACTGGTGCGGAGCAGGTAAATAAGGAAGTATTGTTTACTCCTTCTCATAACACAAGAACTCGGGGTCACCCAATGAAATTAATAGGCAGCAGGTTTAAAACAAACAAAAGGAAGTATTTTTTCACATAACACACAGTCAACCGGTGGAACTCTTTGCCAGAGGATGTTGTGAAGGCCAAGACTATAACAGGGTTCAAAAAAGAACTAGATAAGTTCATGGAGGTGTGATCGACCCAGGCCAGTTAGGTACAGCAGAGTAGTAGAAGGCAGATATACTGGCCAATGAAAAAGCAGTTTTCTGTTCCCTGACTGACCAGAGCAGGGGCTGCTCCAGGCTAGGGTGGACACATGACTCCAATTAGCCTGAAAAGAATCAGGTGAGGCCACTAAGCTAATGCGAACACCTGACTCTAATTAAGGCCCCTCTGATACTATAAAAGGGCTCACTTCGGTCAGGCCAAGGAGAGCCAGGGAGCCAGGGGAGAGGAAGTGTGGCTGAAGGGCTAGGTAATGAAGACACCCTCAAGCCACTGGAAAGGGAACCCTAAGGTAAGGGTGAAGAAGGCGTTAAGAGAGAGAAGCGGGAGAGCTCTGGGGAAGTGGCCCAGGGAAATGTAGCACCTCTGGCAGTGAAAGGTTGGCTGCCAACAGCTGCTGCCATTAGGGTCCCTGGGCTGGAACCTGGAGTAGAGGGCAGGCCTGGGTTCCCCCCAACCCGCCACTACAGAAACACGTCCTGTGGGGGAAAGATGCCTAGGACAGGAGGCTAAACTGTTTGGGAATAAGCCCATAGGGACAACAGAGACTCTGGGAGTTCTCTCACCAACCTCCTTGCAGGCTTATGATGAAATGGGCTCAATAGACTCAACAGACCTGGCCCTAGAGAGAGAGAAGGGCTACATGGAGGGTCGCAGTGAGCCTCTGAGGCTACCATAAACCACCCGGAAGCACAGGACCCACAGGGACAAGGTCAGAGCTCTGCCACAGAGGATAGGTCCATCAGTGGCTATTAGCCAGGATGGGCAGGGATGGTGTCCCTAGCTTCTGTTTGCCAGAAGCTGGGAATGGGCAATGGGATGGATCACTTGATGATTACCTGTTCTGTTCATTTCCTTTGGGGCACCTGGCATTGGCCACTATCAGAAGACAAGATACTGGGATAGATAGACCTTTGGTCTGATCCAGTTTGGCCATTCTTATGTTCTTATTACGTATTACTTAAATAGTGCTATCAGCATATATGAGGCCGGAAGGAAAGTATTCTGATGGACTTGACCACAGGCAACTAAGACATCTAATTTTATTGTCCAAAAAGATAATGTGATTCTCTAAATTTGTCACCTGTGGTCTCATTCTCTCAAATTAAAATGAAATATTGTCGCTGGTGTGATTATCTAAAGGCATTGCTCTACATTCTGCTTGTTTTGTTGTGGACTGTTGTGACAAGGTTTCATATTTTAATTTGTTTTTGTTTTCAGCATGTCTGACTCATGCTTGGTCTGATATATTAAATTGTGTGCTCTCTTTAGTGTAAATTAAAATGTCCCTGCTATCACCAGATTGAGGCTGGGTCAGAATTAACAATCTCCAAAAATGTATTTCAAATTCAAGCAAAACAAATCCAATACCCAATTAATCATAGTTAGTGTCCATCTGGTTCAAATCTAGATCTGATCTTACAGAACAGCATGAGTCAAGTCCTCCATTCACACTGTCTGCTGTTGAGTGCTCATTCCGATTCTGTCCCTGAATATATTTTGTCTCTGATTCCCATTCAGGTTTATAGAAAATAGGCTGATGGGCCAGGAGCTTCTAGTTTGCTGCACATATGTGAATGGGTTTGTTTTGATATATTAATTGTGGAAACATGTATTCCACTACTGCAGCACTACAGGACAATGACATGAGTATTTCCACCACCAGTAATATATCCTAAAAGACAGCTGCACATGGTAGTTAAAAGCTTTAAGTATGCATGCACACTGCCATTTGTTGTAGATTTGATTGGATTATTGTGTAATTTTAGAGGCAACCACTGAAGTAGGGCGCTCTCCTATTCTTCCTCATTCAGAAACTGAAGTATAAAGCAGCCTAGTAGACTGTCAATTTACATATTAACATAATGATGTCATAATGAGTCTTTTTTTTATTTTTCAATCACTGTCTGAAGACAAAGTACTGAAGCCATGCTGTAGCCTGCTGAATCTGGAATCCTTATATTCAGTGATAGCCTATAGATCTGATTTTTCTTCAGCTTCATTTCTAAAAGCAGCAAAAACATGTTTTGTCCACCCCTAAGGAAATTTTTTGATTTAAGGGCCAGGATTCTCTTCCACTGCTGTGGGTTACAGCACAGCAGTTTTAGCTTTTGTAAAGCCTCAAAAGAAAAAATAAATCCTCTCTTTGAAAAGTAAGAGACTTCTATCACAATGAAGTTTAAGTCCATCATGAACTACAATGTGACTCAGATATGCCTGTCTTGAGTTCTGTGAGATTGCTCCTAATTTTGCCAAAATCAGCTCTTGACTAAGTTCTGCAGTATGTTCCAAATGGGGGATAACCAAATGATTATATTTGATCACTGTCTTCAGTGGTCTGGGCTGCCTAGCAATCCTGTATACAAGGTGGATCTCCATGAAATAACTCACTAATAGCTTGAAAAGCTGGAAGTTGTTGTCATATTTTGGGACTTGTATAGGACTATTGGGAAATGCTGTTCAAAATAAATACAAATTTTACTCTGACTTCTGAACTGGTGCAAGATATACCTCCATCTCTCAGCACACCCTGCTAACATTCCTGATGCTCAGCATTTGGCAGAAACTCCATTTGACTGAATACTCTTTCCCTGCGGAATGACGAAATACTTCTGCAATGGCACATATATTTAAAGTTAACCCTTTGCAGCCTTTGTTTTTTATTTCCCCCCTCATTACTCTTTCATCCTTTCCACATACAACAGGAAACAACTGGTTGCATCATACTTCCAAACAGCACATCTAGCACCTGCCCAGTTGTGTCAAAGCCCGACTTCCATAACTAAAGTTTTAAGTGGTTCAGAATACAAATGGAAGGTCTTTACAATCAAGTCCCTGGCTTGACCTCCTCTCTTCTCCTGTAAATAGCACTAGTGCTCTTTCTATGCATGAAGAGCTGTTGCATGTCAAGAGCTGCACATTCTCAGATAATCTGTCCATCTATCACTTCTCATTATTGTATTGTAAAGGAAATAGCAATTTTTTATTGATAGAGGACAATTTACCAAATTCTACTCTCATTAACAATGGATTTACACCACTATAACTCCATTAACTTTAACAAGATTCATTTAAATTTACACCGTTATAACTGAGAGTTGAATATAACCTGACATTTTTCCTCTCAGAGGCCATGTGAGGCAGCATTTTGTTTTCATCTTTCATGGAGAATGACATAGTTGTTCATCAAAGAGCCTTCCACATTTGGCTATCACATGGGTAAACTAACAGGGCACAGAGATTACTTTTTCATCAATGCTTGCTGAAGACACAGTCCAGGTAAAAACCTGAAACCCTTAATGGCGTCAATGTTTGTGCTAGATAGACTAAAAACATAGATAAATTCACAAATCTGTGAAAGAAAGGTAATTTTCGACTGGTTATTATTGAGATTGGAGTTCGATAAAAGTAAGCAGCCATAAAAAATGCAAAGTGGGGCATAGTGAGTTGACTCATATGTATGCTTATTCACTGGCTGGGATATCAAACTCAATTCTGCTTCTTTTTCCAGTTAAAAAGCATGAAAATATATCTAGAGCATGATAAATCATTCTAATTTTGATATATTAAGGTGCACTCTACATCAATCCTATGCTTTTCCATTTTTAGAAAAGCCAAATTAATCTCAGGTGTAATTCTGACTTCAGATAAATATGACCCCTATACTTTATCTATGAGACTCAAAAAGTGTCTCACTTCTATAACATTCTGTGAAAGTTAAATTTGTTGAATTCTTTTTAACACACAAAGAGATTTTTTCATTCCTTTTTTTGCATGTGTATTTTGTTTTTATTGTGACGTGTAAGATTTCTCCTTGTTTGGAGGATTGTTATCTGTACTTTTTTGGCTACTGGAGTTCTCTACATGCCATTAAAATGGGCATTTTTAATCCTAGACACTACTTTTAGAACTTCATTTGTTTTGTTGTAGTTGCACAGAAAGAGAGCTATAAATTAGTCCTCATGAAGCCAATAATTCAGATATATACTTGAGGAATTCCTTTTGGTACAATTATATTTATTTTTCCAAACATTTTGTTTGAGCGAAAATGAGATGGCTATCTACTGTTTCCTTATTTTTTTGCAGGAAAGCAAAGGGTTGTTGACTTCCTCTCCCCTCCCTTCCTTCCTTCTTTCTGAAGGTACTGTACTCATCTGAAAAAAGAGAACGAAGTGATTGTTCCTGTTCTCTTTCTTAAGTCATTTGAAACATTGTCCTTGCTAGTTTTCTAAGTCTACTGCAATCTCTACACAGGGAGCAAGAGAGATTGCCAACAGGAAAGCAGGTAGACAGCTTAGCTCATTCCAACTTCAACAATTGGTAAGTTAACCAAGAAAGCATTTTTACTTAAATCTCTGTTAGTTTAATATATACACCTTTAAATACAGGAAAGACATTTATCAACTACCAGACAAAAGATAATGACTGTATGCATTGGCATGCAGTGTATATTTTCTTTTAAAATATCTATAGTCAGTTTTTTAGATACTGCCATTAGTAGTATGAGGTTTAACCAATATTGAGGAGCGGTTTCTCAGTAAGATTGAGAATGTCTGCAGTATTCAGTGTTGTGAATTCTTTCATATGAAGCTGAGTAGTTGACCTTACCTTTCCAGCAGCCCCTGTAGCTTGTTTTAGACGTCACTTACTTTATATTGAAAGTTTCAGCAAGGTTTACTGTGACCTCACAAAGGCAGAGATAGGATAAGTAGGTTCGTAATTGATAGGCTAGTACAGTTTGTTCATCTCTGACCATTACTTCAAACATATTCATTCAAGTGTTACACCGAGCAACTGAGCTGTCATCAAGCTGTGCCATAAAAGAGAGAGAATTACTCGGGTTTTTTAAAATGGAGCTGTGTAGTATGTGAGAGAGAGTGCACATGTTTGTATCTTAGTGCCTGTGGTATATGCAGTCTGAAAGCAGTGACATTCCACCAGTTAAGTGAGATCCAGTTTCATTTAAAAAGACTAAGTTACAAGCTATGTCACAAATACTAAGATTAACCACCAATGTCAGTATGAGGATAAAATACTGGCTAGTCATTTATATTCCTTATCAGCCAGTGGCTGGTCAGCTACAGTTTCCAAGTATCAGGTACAACATGTTAAGCTAGCAAAGTTTGACTGCACCGTCAGCAAAGAGTATGATCTAAGAATGCATTTTATTTTTCTAAGGCAACTCAACAGAAATAGCAACTTTTATATAGGAAGGTGCAGTTTGGATGAGGAGTAGAATAGGTCACATTTCTACAAAAGAGAAGCCTGATCATCTCTTGAGCCCACATTAACTTGCGAGTGAGACTTCAGAGCTTTAGAATGTTCTGTGGGACATTCAAGTCCCTGGCAGCACAGCTCCAAATGCAGGGCAGGGAACCCCAGAGCTGGTATATACAACTCTGGCTGTTGGTGGGTCCCCTGAAATCCATGGGTTCTGGGGGGTTGAGCCTCCTTCTCAGAAGTGGAGATATAATTTTCCCCAACGACTGAACAAACACATTATTCCTCCTTGTGGCTCCTTTCTATAGCTTTCCCCTCCCCCCTCCCTCCCCCCATGGTAGGGAGTGATCTACCCCACATTAGCAAGTTTTCTGATAAAATTATATGTCTCTCTACTCCTTCTATTTATTAGCAGTTATGAAGTGCTGATCAATTTATTGTTTAATGTGGTTTGAAGTGAAATGTATCAAGTTTGTCTAGTTTGGTGCTATTTATGAGCCTTGGATAAAAACATTTTGTAGGTGAAGTATTTAAGGTTACCGGTATAGAGACCAGTTCTCAAATGCACGCGTGAAAGTGAGATGTGTACTTTTTTTATTTGGATACCCAGTTTGGCACTTAGCTGGACAAAAGGCCATTTTATGTGACCAAGTACTGATCCAGACAACCAAATGTGGGCTTTGGACATCTATTTAGGTGACTACGTTTGAAACTGGGCCCCCATTCGTATGTCAAATAAGATAAACAGAGAAGTCATTTTGTTAATTTACCTTGTAAAGTATGTGATTTGCTCTGTCTACAGCTTCTGAGGCCACAGAATTTCTCTGTTTCTCTGCTGTTACCACAGCAAAGATGAGCTCAAGCTGCAAAATTTTGATCTGGATTGCAAACACCCCAAAGTTCTGGGAAGGTTAGATCCAGGATTTAGGTTCAATCTACAATTAAGACAGGAGCCAATTGCAAAATTTAGATCCAGATTTCAGTTTTGACAATCTCTACAAATTCATGTATGCTTGCAGTCTCGGCCCATGTTTACTATATATCCTTTCTCTGAGAGCTCTGAAAAGAGGTCATTCTATGATCCTGAAGCAAAAAAGTGTGTATACTTGATGTTATAGTACCTGATCAAAAAATAAAGTGCTGGTTCTATATTCAGCTCTCTATTAATGTTTAAGTAAAATAGCACTGCAGAATGATAGTTTATAATTTAGTTGTAAATATAGACCCTGAGCTTTGTACTTCATTCATGGATTACACCTTTCAGTTACATTTCTCTTTGATACAATGCTTTTTTGTTGGTCATTTACAATGTCTTTTACATCGTGCATTTTTTGTTATAAAATCAATACAACATGATTTTATATAATATAGTTGTAACAAACTAACTTCTCTTTAAAAAGAAAAGGAGTACTAGTGGCACCTTAGAGACTAACCAATTTATTTGAGCATAAGCTTTCGTGAGCTACAGCTCACTTCATTGGATGCAATTCACTGAATGCATCAGCTGTAGCTCACGAAAGCTTATGCTCAAATAAATTGGTTAGTCTCTAAGGTGCCACTGGTACTCCTTTTCTTTTTGCGAATACAGACTAACACGGCTGCTACTCTGAAACCTAACTTCTCTTTGAGAGTTTAGGAAATGGAGTTTTGTCCTTGTCTCGCATCATTGTGAAAAAGTTATAGGCAGAGAATCATAGCTTATGAATGCCAGCCTCCTTAAATTTATGGTATTTGTTAGTTTATAGCATAAGCTTAATGTTTGTGAAATGTATTTTAGTGATTAATTCCTATATTATTTAAAACATTGTTTTCATGGAAGGCAATAAAACAGGTATTTACCAGAGACACACTTTTGTATCTTATTTAAAAGCTTATTGGTGCCTTTGTTAAAAACAAAAACATAGTTACAGTTACGGTGTAGTTTTGAATAGAGCTGTTTGGAACCCCAATTCCCATTCCACAGGATATTCTGAATATATTTTTTAAAATTGTTCCAAAATTAGAATGAAAGTTTGAAATTTCCCATGAAATGAAAATTCCAAAATTTCATTTAGAATAATTGAAATATTTCATTTCAACAAGGTCAAACCTTTTAAAAAAAATAATAAGGTCATAACCTTTCATTTCAAGTTTAACCGACTTGACTTTTATGTCAAAAGATTTCAACTTTTATATTATATTACATTGTTATCTTATAAGTTATAATAGTCCATAACAAAAGTTGACACAATGTTGAAATATTTCAACCTTATCTAAATGAATCATTTTGAGAAATTTTCAATTAAAATTTCAACAAAAAACGTTTAGCGGGAAAATTTTTGATCACAGTAGTTTTGAACTATTATGTACTAACTAGCTAATATATGTTAGTATAAGGGTAAGGGCCCAGTGCTGCAGCTTTACTTCTGTGACTAGCTCCATGGAAGTCACAGGAGAAAGGGCCTGATCCAAAGCCCATTGAAGTCAATGAGATTCTTTCGATAGAAACACTATCTTCTGCTGGTACAAATTTCTTCGAGTGGAGTCATGCTCATATGAATTTTTACCTTGAATTATCAGGTATTTTACACACAAACCTTGAAGAGTCTTGGCCTAATTGTTCTTAAGGCAACTTGGGCATAATGTGGATACAGATAAGTTATAAAGCTGTACCTACAATATTGCATATTTTTTTGGCACTGCAGAATGTATATCCAGAAGATAGATGTGTTGGCACACCTATTAATTGTCTAGAATTAGAATGGAAGAAAACTTCTTGGCATCCTCAAACCAAATGCAAGATAAATCCAAAATAGAGTGGAGACCACCACATTCCTAGAAGTAGTGCTGGACAGACCTTAAGTAGACTGGAAAACTGATTATCCCAGGCAGATTGTATTGAACTTATATCACTGGGGCTCCAATACAGCAAAGGAATCTGCATGAATAGACTATTTCACCCATGCAGATCCCTTTGCAGGGTTGGTTCCTTAGATACAATAGCAATAGTGCTATGTAAAAGAAGATAAATATAAACAGAGATAAATGTATTCATTATCTGACAGACTTTTACCAATTTTGTGTCCTGAACATCTACAGTAAGGACCTTTTTGAGAAGTGTTGTTAAACCAAATGAACCATGTATTTTTAAAACCTAGTTGCTTCTCCACTCCCACTTCCCATCCCAGGAGGACAAACTGAGCATGGAGAAGTGAGATCAGAGAAGAAAAATGTCTCAGAGAAAGGATTTTAGAAGGAAAAAATAAATGGAAGTCTTTAAAAAGAAGGCAAAAGGCAGAAAAATTAGCTTAAGAGGAATCAGACACTGGAGAAACCTGATGTTACCCTCATTTTCATGTTGAGAAGTTGACAGTTATGAAACTCAGCCTGCAGCTGTCTGCTGCTGGAAAAGTTACAATACCATTTTTTTTAAATGGATAACATTCAGCATGAGGATTAAGAATGTTCATCCAGTCAAAAGCTTCTGACTAGGTGAACACCTAATGGTTATGAAATATGTTTTATAAATTACATACCTATTGTAATACATATAGGATGTCTGACTTGCCTTCATATCCATTTGGCAGGGATCAGTCCTTCTTGCCTAGTGTATAAAATACTAATGATTCTAGGAAAGAATCCTATCTTTTTGAAAGAAGTACTTAATGCTTTCATTTGATGCCTAGGGAACTTATACCTATGCAGTAACACAAATGGAAGTACACAGGTGCTACCGTGGTCTTTGTACAGTCACAACAAAGCAATTTCTCCTCTCAGTTGACAACTGTAAGGTACTGCAAGCTGGTTTCCTTCTTTGACATCACAAACAATTACATTAAAAAAGTCTTATACTAAAAGAAATTGGGATACTTCTAAAGGTTTTTTAAACTGCAATGATATTCCCTATCTGGTGATTTAATTTCTCCATCTTGCATCATTTGCTCCTGGTTTCTTGCTGCATGGTTTAGAAGCTTATGTTATCAGTGACAGTCAGTAACTTGAATCAGGCAACTCTGTCCACATATTTATTCAAGTGACACCATCATAGGATCTAATCACATTAGCCACGCCATCAGGGGCTCGTTCACCTGCACATCTAGAGACTAGGGACCGAATGGCTA